ACATTAGAAAATAAGGGGAAATTTTTTTCTCAAACAAAGTTGACAGGACTGAGGTGCAAACTATTAGAGAGGAAAAAAAAAGAAAAAACCAAAACAACCAAGCAACAGTGGACAGCGGAGGGAAATATTTACCTTAATTTCCAAGAAGCAGAATTGCATTCTGGTAGGATTCTCATCAAGGTTCTTGTGCTCTCCAGCATGGGACAGGCAGGACTCCAAGTTCTAAAGGTTTTTTGTCCCTAAGAGCAGTGGTAGTGACTTAAAGCACGACCCAAACTCCTCACCCAGGGCTCTAGACTGCTGACTTTGGAACATTCTAGCCAGTTACAAACTGAGCAGGAAACAAAATGTTCTCCTAAGAGAAACAGTCAAATACAAAACCAAATAATTGAAAAAAATTAGTGTCTGAAAAAGGTAGACCAACTGAAGAGCAAAGTCACTGCCTTTAAGTCCAGGGCCTCTCCACTGTTTGCTAGGAAGGGTCAGGGCAAATTGAAAGTGCTCACAAATTATTCCCTCCACCCCCAGAGGAGTAAATGCACTGATGAACTATTATTTGGACAGGATTCTCACTTTCATGAAGTTGAGAAATATCATAAGGGGGAAAAAATAAAACCACCCATTTTCTAACATTAACTATCTCCAGAAAGGAAAATGTCAACCACAAGCTATTTTTTTCATTGTTTATTGAGACAGGAACAGGGATTCCCTTCCCTATCCCCTCCACCCTTCTCCCACTGAGATTACTATTTCAACAGCTGGACACTTGTGCACTCAACAGCTTGCACATTTCCAAAAACATGCAGCTGCCTCAGTCAAACTAGCTTGGAGCTTGGACAGCCTTGCTAGCGTCAGGATAGATAACAGTACTGAAGTTTTTTTCCCAGCATTCTCAGTGACATTGCCCAGCTATCAGTTTTAAATTAAATGTGACAATGCACAAATCACCTACAAACTTCAGGCTCTGGGTGCAGAACACCTAAGACACTTTCCAGAAACCACCATTAAAACTGGATCACATTTTGCCAAAACAAAATGCAAATTAATTAATCAGTTCAAAAAGCTCATTAAACCCTAAAGTATGATTTACTCTGAGAATCCAAGAGGCCAAGGTTTTTCCCAACTCTGTGAAAATTCACAGCTAGAACTGTTTATATAAATAACCAAAAATCATTCATACGCAATGATCAAAAATATAAATAAATTTTCTTTTTAGTGGGAACATTACGGATCAAACCCAACAGAATCTAACAACTGACTGGACAGAGCACTATTAATCCCAAGCCATAACTGTTGTGACTTAAGTTCACATCAATTCTATTTAGACCCAGACTAACAAAGTAGTGAACAGTTCTGGAGTAAAACAGGCTAAAAAATGAGCATTTTCCACTTGCACCAGGTAGAGACTGTTAAGAAGCCAGAGAGGCAAGCAAGAAGCACACACTCTGTAAGGAGGCTTCTAAAATCTTTGCTCTTTGACCGAATGACTCTATTTGGTCCAAAAAGCCAAAAGACAAAATGTTCTATCTCCTATTCTCTGAGCACAAACACCTTAACTGTTATTCTAGTGGCTCCATAAAGAAGAAATGATAAAAAAGTATCTTCCCTCTTCACTTTTTATTGAGGACATGTTATCAGCCTGTGTGAACTGCCTAGGGGAAAATTTCCACAGAAACCTGGTCTCTCCTGAAAGAGCAGAAAAGGCAAAGCCAAGTTCAGGTCAGATCTGTCAATTATATGGAAAGTTCTCTCTGCTACACTCAAGTTCATCCATTTTTTCTTGTGATTCTATATTCTGAGATACTAATTTCTTAGATCAAATTTCTCAAGAGTTGCCAAAACTATGAGAACAGTCTTTTTTCCAGATATTGACATTTTACCACGAAATCCTGATAATCCATGATTTTAACTTAAACAGAGAAACACATTTTATGCTTCATGTGGAGCTCAGTTAAAGCTCAAGAGTCAAGTCCCAACTCAGACAACCTTTGCTTTTTCCACAGCAATCTTATCAGAATATACAGCAGATAGATCTGGTTTATTGTTTCTTCCAACTACAAACAGCAGAACCTGCCTCATTAGGAGTCAATGTGGTCCAAACAGGACAAAATACAAAGTCAACAATGACACTAAAGGAGAACAGCAGAGATATCTCTTAGATTTCTAGGACAGCATCACTCTTCAAAGTACTGCTTTCAAGTACTTCTCAGACACCACACAACCTCCAGGTTTGCATGTAGTGTTCATCGTGCAGCTGGGCAAGTGATGCTGAAGAGGTGCTAGCCCAGAAGTTTCATAAATATCTTTGGATACCCTGCCAATCACTGCACAATAATTACAGAAGTACCAAGGTGTGAGAAATTTTTTCTCTACACTTAAGGCTGGTCCTAGTATACAATATTCACTGTCATTTACTACTTCCAGTAATACAACATGGAATGTTATTTGTCATTTTCAGTTAAAGCAGAGGAAATTACAAACTGCTGTCTTGACACTGCTAGCTGCCTCAAGTTCTCAAGCACACCTAAAAAACCCCTACTATTTTCTTTGCCTTCTTATGGAACACAAGTAAAATTTGTGAACTTATTCCAAACTATCCAAGTCAGGGCTCACCTCCCTCATGCTCCCTGGAGATAGCAACTTCAGTGGTGCTATGTACCAGAAGGAGCCATGACAGTTCCCACAACTTTAAGCACTGAACCCAAGACAACATTTAGGTGATAATATACCAAATAAAATCCTATATTTGGTATAGACAATTCTACATGTGTCAATAAGGCCTGTTAAACAGACCTGCTGGGTGCACTGAAGTAAATATTCAATGGAAAGCACTTTAAAGTATTAGAGAACTGCTCCCACTTAGTACTGCATTTTGTATTCCCAAACAGTATTCCCTTGTCACTTCAATCTCTTTCTCTCATTCCCCTTTAAAATAACCTGGCCCTTCCATATTGATGACTACTCTCATCTTTTGTGCAGTAGCAGTTTCATTAATGAATACTTTGGATCACAGTTATAGATAACCATATTAATTGTGTGTTAAATGACTGCAACAGCTACCCAGAGTGTTACAGGACACCTAAGTCCCAGAGGAGATTGCATTAAAAAAGATTAAATGGCAATGCGACCTGAAAACAGCCTAAGGCAGTGCATTACATCAGGATATAAGCAGAGATACAAAAATGATCTACAAAGAAACCTGAAGTGTATTTATATTTTGTACAAAATACATATTTATACAAAAGTAGGCATTTATATAAAATAGAATTTGTATAAAACCGGAAGTATAAAGTGTATTTGGTTGCATGTCAGCTAGGGCACAAAGGGCCGAGCAAACGGCACCTTCCCATGTTATTATTAGGGAGCTGGCTGGAAAGTTTCAGGGAGAGCATGCCGCTGCCTGCTGGAAGGAGTGGGACATAACTCATGTTCCAAACCACCATCACTGCTCTTAGGGATCAAAAATCTAAAGAGTTTGGGACGTGCCACGGAAAATGCCTTTGGGAGCAGCACAAGCCCAGAAGGCAGCTCGGCCAGGGCCCTCCTTGCGGCGCGGCGCGGCGCGGCGGGCGGGGCCGTAGGGCGGGCCGGGGGCTGCCGCCACAGCGCCAGAGCGTGCGCCCGCCCCTCGCCTGGCGCGGCGCTCGGCACTCACCGCCCGCGGGAGACGACGAGACGCCCCCGGGCCGAGCGGCGCTGCGGAGAGCCGGGGCAGGGCGGGGGCGGGGGCGCGACCGCCCCGGGGCAGCGCGGGAGAGCGGGCGGAGCTGCTGCCGCGGGCCGGAGCGGCGCCGCTTCGCCTCCTTCCTTCCTCCCCTGCTCGGCCTTCCCGCCCGTGCCGGCCTGCGGCGGGGGCGCGGCGGTGGGGCCGGTGCCCGCGGGGCGGAGCGCGGCGGGCGCGGAGGGGGCGGGCGGAGGCGGAGGGGCGGGACTCACGTACTCTGCACCTGCAGGTCCATCTCGCGCATCTCGGTGAACCTGTCGCGCAGATCCATGGGAAGCTGCTCGATCACTGCGGGGACACGGGGGAGCGGGAGAGAGGGGGGAGGGAGGGAGCCAGTCAGTCACTCGCTGCCGTGGGGGAGGGGGGGCGCCGCCTCCTCGCCGCGGCTTCCCCCGGCTTCCCCGCACCGGCCGTGCCCGGCCGCCCGGCGCCCCCGCCGCGCACACACTCACTCTCCAGATAGTCCTCCAGGTACAGCATGGCGGCGGCCGGGCCCGCGCCCAGGGGCTGCTCGAGAGCGGGCGCTCGTCCCTTCCAATATGGCGCCGCCGCCAACAACACCAGCGCCTCGACTCAGCGAAAACAACATTGGCGGCGGACGGCGCTCGCCGCGGCCGCGCCGCGATTGGCTGCTCGCGCCGCTGACGCACCCGCGGCCAGCGCTCTGCCGCGCGGCCTCACGGGAAGCGTAGTCTGTGCCGGGCGAGCTGGGGCGAGGCTGTGCGTCCTGCCCCGCGCTGCCGTTCCGGCTGGTCCGCGGTCATTCCCGCGATCCTGGGAGCATTCCCGCGGTCCGGGGCCATTCCCACGATCCTTAGGGCATTCCCGCCTCACAGGACCCGCAGAACTCTTCTCCGGGAGCAGCTTTCGGCCCTCCGGAGCGTCCGCCGCGCGACCGCAGCGCCGCAAGTGCGGCGAGCAGGAAGGGAAAACTTGCAGCTTCTTGGCCAGTCTCGAGGCTTTTGTTTGTCCGGTGTTGTTCTAAATGCTCGCAGCCGGCAGTAGTGCATTAAAAGCGTAAGAAACGGCAAATGTAATGAAAATGCTTCAGTCCGTGAACTCTCACGGCGCAAGGTAAAAAAGCTGCTCCGTTCAGCACAGGTCACGGGTACGGACAGCCTCAGGAGGGGAGAAACGTGCCCTTTGGGATTGCTGATCAGAGTGTAACACCAAAACCGGCTGACAGCAGCGATTGCCATCCCGTTACAATACTCCTTGCAGTGATTCGCTTTCACGTGTTTGGAACTGGGTTTTTTCACACAGTTTTGTTCCCCCAAATAGTCTTTTTCATCTGTCTTCTACTGCTGTTATTTACTGCTTTAAGCATGGACTGATGGATTTATCCAGACGTGTTTTTTGCCCAGGGAAAGAAAATTTTGGGGCTTGCATGATGCCAGGTGTAAGTATAGGAGCATAAGAATTGTGGTAGCAGATCAAGTTTGCTCTCTGCTCTTTTGTTTACTTATTGTGCTTTTTTGTTTCCGCGTCTTTATCTGTGCCCGATGTATCCAAGCAAAAAGGAAACATATGATTAAGCCAAGTATGAGTAAAACTTGCATGGGATGTTTTTGAGGTTCAAGACCAATGGAAAGTGGTACTTTTCTGTGTCTGAAGTTCGTGTATTGTGAGTAGTTAGTTAAAGATGACTGAATTTTGGGAGGTAAGGCATACTTTTTGTATATAGCCTTTATGAAGACCGATGGTAGTAATGTGTTGGATACATTACTGAGGGGTACATTGCAAGCATGCTGAGGGGTTTTAATTCCTTTGTCAATAAAGATGGGGGAGAATGAAAAAGGTGTAACAACAAACTCAATAATTTACAACTTTGTGAAAAAAGCGCTGCGTCAGTGTGGTTACTTTCCATACTCACTCCATCATCAGCCATGTACTCTGCACTGCCAAACCAGAAATATCAACTACTCTCATACATAGAAATGAGAATAGATTTCAGATGGTCATTAAGCTCAGTTAGCCTTAGTGGAAATAATCTCTATTTTATTGCTTATACAGATCTCATTCCTGTAGAACTTCTGACTAGTGTGAGCATAACAGTATTTTTAGAGTTTTGTGTGGGGAAATTGCTTGGCCCAGTTTGGTATGTAAGACACAAGATTGACCCTTTGTGGGAAGGTAAATGACTGCACTTAGTGAGTGAAAGGGTTTGATGCAGCAAGAGAACTTAGTCCATGCAAAAGCACAGCAAAGTAATGACATCTATATTCATTAGGAGAAAAGTTAGGTGAATTTAGGGGAAATCTGAATTGATGGCTTCATTTTCTTTTATGCTTAGTTGCAGCTTTAATGATTCTTAAAGAAAAAAAAAAAACTAGACTTGTTTGGGAGCACATTTTATGCAGCTGAAGTCTAAGAACAATACTGTAAACAAAGACATCACAATTAGAACCACAACTGAAATACATGGTCGTAGATTAAGTCCGTACCATTTGCCTCATGACCAAAATCCCAGGACAGCACAGACATTGGGACATTGTGACTTCTACTCATCTTTGCAAGCTTGGGGATAGCTAGCAAAATTCTCAATGAGGCCTATTGTGCCAGGGTATTTTATGTGTGTTGCGGTGCCCAGACCAAAGAGACCAAGGAACACAGCTCTTGGGGCTGTGTCTCAGCCGTGTCCATTAGTAATGGCATGTGCCCTGTGCCTGTCAGTGAAACAGGAAAAGGAATCAGAATGACAAAGTACTAGTGGGGCTGGCTGCTGTCTGCGAGTTCAGAGTTCCCCCTGTTTATGTGTAGTGGTTTATTGTAATGTGAGAGTCTTTTACAGAAATAGAGACCTGCTCAGAAAACTGTTTGCTGTAATGCTTACTTACATGCCTTACAGTAAGGGATGGCAGGGGATTGTGAGGTACACTACAAAGGAAAATGCAATTCAATGTATTCACTGTCTATTGAAAAGAAAACATGAACTTATTTATCTACCTGTAGTCTTCTTTAGTATTTTTTAGACAAATGAAGAAGCTCGTATTTTTCATTTCTGCCCATATTAATTCATGCTGTATAATCAAATGACTAGCCACACCATCTTCAGTAGGATTGTTTCTGTAAGTGCTGTTTATCATGACATACCAGTGGCACTGAGTTTAAGCTGACATTTAAGAAGTGATAAGCCAAAAGACCATAAAAAAGAAACTGTTTTTACAATAGAAAACTTCCTGTTGTTTATAAATGCAAAGAATTAACTCTATTGATTAACTCAACTTTTAGAACAACCTAATTAGAACAGCTCCCGATAAGGAAACAGGGATTAATGACTGTTTATTGGAATGCAAATACAGTGAAAAAGAACTAAACACCAGCTGTGAACTCAAGGTAGAAAATTCAATTTGTGAATTACAATCAACATTGCTCAAAAAAAAACTCCTTTGCAACTACAGAGCTGCTTAGCACAGGAAGCGAAGGGAGGCCACAGGAGCTGCTGTTTTCTCCTGTTTATACAATGTTATTAATGTTGATGGCTTTTCTCCAGCAAACGTTTCACATAAATCATGTTTCCTCACTGTGACGGAGTGATGGCACAAAGGAATATTACAGATGCTCTGTGATCTACCTAAAGCTAATTGCCTTCCTAGGTTTCATTAGTTTTCAACTGACAGGGAAAAAAAAGCTGAAACGTAAATTTATGTTCTGATGTGCGCTTCTCAGATGGGGGTTAAGATTTTCAAATCTCCCTCTCCTGTACTTACCCATTCCATATCTCTGCAATGCCCTTTTTCTATTCTAATTGCTTCTATCTATTCCCATGTGTAGAGCTGTTTGACACATCTAAGTCTGTCATTTCCATCTTTGTGTTGTAGCTGCTGTCTATCTGTTGATGCGTCCCTTTCCTTCTTCCTTCCAAATCCATTCTGTCTTCTGAGCTGTTTGATTGCTGGAGCTTTCTGTACCTGTTCAGGACTGTCACAGTTCCATATTTACTTCAGTACTCTGATTTTTAGCTCTTGTCTAATACAGCGTTTCTGTACTTACAGTCCTTATGTTTTGTTTCTTTGTTTTTAAGAAGGACACATTTCTAATGATGTTATTTGAAAAAATCAGGAAAGACGTACCTAGCCCATGATTGTTATTCCAGGTCTCAGCTACTGCTGGTAGGTTCCTGTGCTTTGGTTTCTCACAAGGGAGCCTCCCTGCCTCTGGCACACAGAGGTTGCAGATGTACATCTGTGTGTTTCTCAGGGCTCTCACAGAAGAACTTCCAGCGTGACAGCTGAGTGGCATCCACCAGAGCCTACATAAAACTGCAAGCCTGGGTAGCTCTTAAACTACCAGAAAGGAGCAGTTTGCTTTTCTTTGGCACCTGCTGCTGCTGCACTCCAGCAGTCCTGCGTGGCAGGCCAGAATCCATTCACCACGGTGCGCTGCTGCGAGCGTGTGTTGTGGATCGCAGCGTTCCCAGCAGTTCTGGCTGCCGTCGTCAGTGTTAGGCCTGCTGGTCTCCTCACATGCTTTCAACTGTTTTATTGTAATTCATCCTCACATCCTGTTTGTTGCCTGCTATTTTTCTGCTGTTGCAGCTGTTTTTTCCATTCTTTCCAGTCCACCCAGTTTTGCAGTCCAGCTGTCCCTCCCAGCTGCCATGGACTCCACCATCTCCCAAATTCCTCCCTTTCTGCTGCTGCAGGGGCATCACCCACAGCCTCACTCTCCCTCTGCAGGAAATAACTATCATTCCTGCTCTACTGCACACCATGGCTATTGGAGGACATTAGTTAAATAACTGAATTGTCTTGAGACTGAGCACAATGTAAGGATTGCAGCATGATTGTATTTCTTCTGAGCAATCAACTTTGTGTAATGGCAAACTCCATCCAAAGCTGGATCCTAGGAAAAAGCTGTGTCAGAGTTTTAAGTACATAATGTTACTCTGGTCTAGTGCAGCACTATGCAGGAGCTTCACACTTCTGTGAAATAGTCCCTCAGAAGGGAAAGTTTGGCCCAGGAATATTGTGTCTGGATGGTAATCTCTCTTGAGAAATCAGTTTCCTTTTCTGCTGATTACAAACTCTTGCATTCTGAGATTCACATTCCTGTTTCTGGAAGAAAATCCATGACCCCAGATAATTAATTTGCTTTAACAGTCAACAGGAAAATGGAGCTGCCATTTATCTTTCAGCTTGACTTTGTGTACAGACTCAAGCAATTATATCTCCATCTTTTAGTTAATTTTATCTGCTACAGACTCAGTTAAATTTGCTTGCAGATTTCAGTTATTTCCTGAAAATCTGCAGGATATGAGCAATTGCTGTTTATATATTAATCACTGAAATGTTTTATCCTGACTTCCTAAGGAAATAAAGCTTACATGAGCAATCCATATGTTTGTGTGAATATTTCTTTATCTGTTTTTTCATTCTGCCCTGTCTCTATAGAATGGACTAATTTCAGCCTAACTGAAAAAAAAAGTTGTTCTTTTAGAGATTAATTGTGTACTTATTAGATGCTTGCCTGCTGCCAATAGTTTTGAATTTTTTTCTCTCTTTCACTGAGGAGAAGATTGCAATATGAACCTTCCATGTATTAGACTCAATAAAATCTACTCAAAAGCAATGAGCACCCAAACCATAAAAAAAATCTTCTGCTGATGAACATAACTTATGCACAAGGAACCAACATAAGTAGGTTTGGTGCTCACAGAATGTCCAGGTTTGTTTGCTTGATTTTCTTGCCATCCTGGATACTGGACCATGTGGCAGTAAGTAGGAAAGTGATTATCTTAATGATTACTTAAACATTTTAAGTAAAATTTGACACTTCAAATGCCTTTAACTATTTATCTGTAATGAAAGACATTTTATACCTTTTTCTTTTCAGATCTATACATGTATTTCTAATATGAGGCCAGGACATGCTTGTGCCTGGAATTGGCTCATATCTACTAGTTTCCATCAAGAAATGCTATAAATTTCTGGTATGCCATGAATGGCACAGAAGAGTGTGGGATATGATGCCATCTATGCCCTGTGCTGATCAGAAGATGTATCCTCTGAGAATTGAGGTCTACAGATGGAGCAGGTAAAAAAATAAAAGAGCTGAACAGTCTTGTGCTCAGAGCACATATCTAGGAGATGACAATGCAATTGTATTACTCTCCACTCAAATTCATGCTCTCGTAGCCTTCTTTGTCACTGAAGGGAATTCACAGAAGTTGAAAGTGGCAGCAGGGGAAGGAAGTAACAGAAATTTGCCAAAATAATGGCATTATGACTGACTGAAGTAGCACAGCTGACCCAGGAGAGGATGCAGACTTTGAGAGCAGGCATGAATCTTCACTGCCTCTGGGCTTACACTGTCAGACACCTGAGTATAATCCAGGAATCATCTCTTTCATAGTTTCAAGAGCTGTGCAGAGACTGAGGCACTCAAGAAACTGGAGTTCAGACTCAGAGGATTTACAGGAAGGACAGTCCTGACAGAAGGCAAATACCCTCACTTTTTACCAGGGAGAGAAGATGTACTGCAATTTAGCATAAGAATGAGTCTACCTCTTTGGTTTGATAATGTAAGGCAAAACTTGGGGAAAAAAGGGAGAACAAGTGAGTTCCTTGAAAATTACCATATGTTTTCAAGGTGGTAATAACATTGTAGCTGTGATACTTTCAAAGATACAGGCAAATGCTCTTTCTGGGGAAGCTAAATTAGATTATAATTATTTTATTAAGATGTTTACAATTGAGGAAAATACAGACAACTTGGCGAGCACAGAAGTTCCTCTCCAACTGTCCTATTGACTTCTGTTGTCTGATTTTTTAAACTTCCATATGATCTAAATGTACCTATTTTAGAAGTATAGCTTAGCTTACAAATGAACTAATCCTATTCCTTACTGGCTTGCATCAGCATACTTTAAGGCTGTTATGGTTTATTATTTTTGTTCTGAAATGCAAATTCATGGTCCCACATGTGGTGAGCCCTGTCATGTTAGTTCCTACAGAAATAAAGAATAAAGGGTGATGACAGGCTAAGTTAATACCTAATTTGTTTTTCATCTCATGCACTGGAGAAGTAAGTTTACCATATTTTTAGATGAGTTCTAAAGGTTTGCAATCAGCACATTCCATAATGATGTAAGAAATTGCGTCATTTTTGCATATATGCAAAAATCCCTAATGTAAGCATGTACAAAGTTATTTGAAAATGCACTATGAAAGCAGAAGCAAGTGCCATTGCAGTCCATTTTAGAAGCATTGTTCTTCTTCCAAGTTCTCAAACATCCATTATTCTGATAAATTTCTTTCAAAAAAAGAAATCTAAGTCTTAAACCTTCAATATTTTTTTTTTAGTACATATGGAGAGTTTGTCTCTCTATGTGTCAGTATTGTATTTCAACAAAATATGAAGAGAATTACACAGTCACAGTCACTTTGGACTTTACTGGCATAATAATAGTTGCAAGGAACAGCCTATTTTCAGGGTAGCAAGTGACAGGAATGCCACAGCTTTTCTAACATGAACAGAAGATCTTACTAACAAAAGTGTTAATTTTGATGAAGAGGTTCGAATTTAGAAATTTTCCACCTCTCATTTTCATGCAAGTTGCAGAACTGTCTGGTCTTTAATATTTGCATATGTTATATCTATTAAATTTGTTTTCATCCCAGAAGTTACAAGAAATAAGGGCTTTACCAGAAAAGAAAGTTACTTTGCAGGAGGCCACAAGTTGATTTTACAGAAACGCTGAACTAATGTGGCAAGGGAACGTATTTTTAAAAGGCACAAATCTCCTTATTGATAATTATCTGTCAGTAATTTATAAGGGAAGTACTAAAATCACTGCAATTTTTTTTTATATCAATGCAATTTGAAAACAGAGCTAGTATTTCTTTTCTTTAGTAAAAATCCTATATTTCACTCAGTTACAACTTCAGATCTTCTTGGCTCTTCTGTGTGTGTCTGTCCTTAAAGATTAATGCAAAACACTTGGGAATGCAGCTGACTGGGAATTCTTCAATTTTACAGTTTTTTAGCTGTAAAATACTCTGTTTAAACTAATATGCTTGCAAGAACCTAAGTGCTTCAACAGGGCTTTTACTGAAATGCAATATTCTAGAGAGTGAGAGCATACTAGGTAATAGCCTTGTGGTCCTGAAACTCCTGGGAGTTAAGCAACAAACTCACAAGAGTCTTCTGTCTGATTTAGATTGGCCCTGAGATCTTTTTCTTCTTGATCTGCATAGTGTGAGAGAAACCATTGTGGAGCTAGTCCAATATTCTGTCTGGTTATGATTCTGGGTACTCAGCTTCACAGCTTTGTTGCAGAGAATTTGAACAAAATACACAAATAGAGAAAGTCATAATCCATCTCTAGAAAAACCCCTGTTGGGTTGATTTCCTGGTGTCTGGAGCATATTTCTGTGACAGGAAGAAATGGCAGACCTGCAGACTGAACCTGAACCTTTCATATCGCTGGTAAATTCCTCTTACTGCCAGGCTATTATATGTGCATTCATTAAATTGCAAGTATTTAGTGACATTTAATAAAGATAAGGAACATTTAAGAAACCTTAAAAAGTTTTACAGGATAAAAAAGCCCCAGTTCCTAGTCTAACCTGATACTGAGTATCTTTCATCAATAGGGAACAGATTTAATTTTAAAAATCTTATAAATTATTAAAAATTAATTTCAGTTTGACTGTGATTATATTCTGATGGAATTAACATTAAGAATTACTTTGTTAGCAGTGAATTCTGGTACTCCATGATTGACAATATTCTCTACACAGAAAGGGAGAATCTTTGTTGAAGAAAATGACAGAAAGCGTGAAGAACTAACTTCATCTGTCTTCCAAGACAAGGTTTTACAAATTTTTTGAGAAAAATCCAGTGGCTCCTAGATTGTGTGCCGAAAGCATAATTTTAAAACTATCAGGTCACAAAATGTTGTAATTCAATAACAGCTGCTAATGGCATAGTAAGAGATGAATATTTGGTGAAGATAGAAATAGGTCTTATATTTTTTTTATTGTGTACGTCAACCTTTCTTTCCTACAATTATGTCTGGGCTGTTTTTCCATTTTGAGGCTAAATGCAAATGAAGATTATAAATTATTTCTTCTAAAGAATACTAACTGGATAAAGAAAAGCCTAAAACAGTATGTCTTAGCAGTTATTTTCTTTTGTAAACAGGATCAACTCAAACAGTGCTGCCAGGTGATAATGATTAATGGTTCAAAACACTATAGATCTGCATTATATAATGCACCTCATATCCTTGAAATGAGGATTGTAATTTGTCATTGTTGTCTAGAGCTAAAATTACAACAGGTAATTTGCAAGAGTAGATTGTAGTGTTTTATAATTGCTTTTTAAAATTCATATGGTCTTATATTTGAATAAATATTAGATCTCAGAGCAATGCATTAGTTTTCTGTGTAGTGACGTGCAATGGCTGGAAAATCAATTACACCTTTTTTTAGCTAAAATGACCTCTATCATATTTCTCATATGGTGTGGTACCCTATAGGTAGTACCAGAATGCAAGCACACTCCTCCCACCAAGAAGTACTAATTTTCTACTTTTATTTCCTTATCTCTACTCAGCCATGTGACTGGCAGGGTTCACAGCTAACCCTTCAGGTTAGAGCACATTCTGATTGTTCATGGCAATTACTTTTTGGTCTCTTGTCAGTGTGCCCTTACAGGGGGCTGTTTTCTCATGGGCCCTCCCCAGCACCTCTTATTGCCACTGCTGTGTGCCCCTCTTTCAAACAATGGCCTTGGCTCATACCAGATACATGGTTTATTGTAGGCTGTAGAGTACATTAAAAGGCACACAATAATTCATACTAAAAGAATTTCTCTCTCTGAACCTCTCTGTACTCAATTACAGAATTGCAAAAAAAAAAAAAAAAAAAAAAAAAGTAAGAGATGCCAGATAGAAAAACCTGATTCAGAGCAGTTTGTTTGTTTGGGATGTTGTTGTTATTGTTGTTGTGGGAATGCAATAAGAAACCAACACTTTGTGTTGTGATATGGTCAAATGTGCTGTAATTGTCTGAATGGGAAATTCCATTAAATCACTGGCTTGTGGTTCTGGGATTGCTCAGTGACCTCAACTGCTGGAGGACAGCTGTAGCCTGCCTTCTTTATTTACTGATGCTGGCTCGTAAATGTATCTTGCTAGCTTGGACAACAGAGACAGGTCCCTTGTGGTCCACTTTGTTGAACTTGACCGAGGAATGTCTGCCCCTGCAAAGGAAAATATTTGTTTTCCAACAGAGAACTAGAAGTTTCTGTGCCAAATGGGACAGTGTTTGGAACAAGCTAGAACAGAATGGAAAGAAGATTAAATTATCATGCTAGGACTGAAAGTTAT